CAGACGAACCGATATTCGGAAACTCAAGACTCGGAACCTAATGGCACGAATCGAGCCCTCACAAGGGCCCACCGTAGCAGTGCCTGTGAGCCTTCGCAGAGCACCATCCTGGGCTAGCAGTGCTACTGCTACTCAGGATGACACAGCAGAACACTGCTTCAGTACAATAATGATCATGGGTTTAGTTTTTAGGGTTTGGGGGAGAACGTCGCTGCTTTATGGGTTGCGGCCGTATTCAAACAAGCATCAGGCTCTACAATCCAGGTCAGCTTTGAGACTCCAGGCTCTTGCAGCTCCCAGACTCAGATGCCACATGCACCCTATCGTAATTGAGCGAGATGGCCCACTTTGGGCTGCACCTTCTCAATGCAAGCCCCTCCTCCCGTGTGCCCCATGACCGCCTAAAAGCATCTCTTGGTTGTACTATCTCGTCGTACAAGTCTTCACGCTACTTGACGGACGAAACTTGCGAATCTGAGTCCCTCAACCCGGCAGCCACGAACAAAACCTGCAAGCCCTACACACCTTGAAACCCAAACCCGAATCCTCAACCCGCAACCCTCAGCCCCGAAACACAACTGCCTCTTGCGCTTCCCACTCTATGTCAACCATTAAAAGTTCTTGATGCCTCGAAACCCCTTAAAGGCCAATTCCCCCCTATAAGCCATTCCTTCTGAATCTAAACCCCTTGTAAACTCAAAACCCTACTTCTAGGCCCCTACATGGAGGTTCATGGGTAGTTATAAGTGGGGTTACAAGTCCCCTAATCTGGATTATAAGTCTAAATACCCTACTGGGTTATAAGTATAGTTACCCTACTTAGAATCCCATTTATCCATTTATATCTACCCATAAACCCCTAACCCTAAACCGTTATAGTAGCCCTTGTAGTAACCCTTATAGTAACCCCATTAGTAACCCCCTTTACAACTACTCATGAAGTCTAAACCTCCAGCCTCCGAGTCTCACACAAACCTTGCTTTGAAGACCTTCAAAACCTTAAGTCACCCTTACTTCTAAACCCTTCTAAACCTTAAATAAAAACCTTACTTCTAGACCCTTCTAAACCTAAAAAAACCTTACTTCTAAACCCGTCTAAACCTTAAATAAGAAACCTTACTTCTAAACCTTAATTAAAGCCTTACTTCCAGGCCCGTATAAACGCGAAACACTTATATGTAGCCCTTGTAGTAACCCTTACAGTAACCCCTAATTACAACTACTCATGAAGGCTAAACCTTCAGCCTCCAAGTGAGTCTCACCCCTATAATCCTTGCTTTACAGCTTACTTCTAAACCCTTCTAAACCTTAAATCCAAACCTTACTTCCAGGCCCAACCCTAAACCTTAAACTTCAGCCTCCGAGTCTCGCTGCATCTCGCAGGGCCGTGGTCTTACCGCAGCTGCTGGGGCCCAGCAGAAGCACCGAGCCAACCCGAGCCAAAAGGCTCGGCCGGATGGGCTGGGTGACACCTTAAGGGTTAGAATAGGGTTTAGGGTTTAGGGTCTAGGGTTTGGGGTTTAGGGTTTACGGTTTAGGGCTTATAGGGTTTAGGGTTTAGGATCACATCTTTATGGAGTTAGAATAGGGTTTAGGGTTTAAGGTCTAGGTTTTGGGTTTAGGGTTTCAGGACGTTAATGGTTAGAATAGGGTTTAGGGTTTAGGGTTTAGGGTTTAGGGACCTTAATGGTTAGAATAGGGTTTAGGGTTTAGGGTTTAGGGTCCTTAATGGTTAGAATAGGGCTTTGGGGTTTAGGGTCTAGGGGCCTTAATGGTTAGAATAGGGTTTTGGGGTAGGGTGCAGCATAATGTATTTGTATATAAGGAACCAGCGAGATAGTGTATTAAGGTCACACCCGTAATACGGTTGATGATCGAAGTCCTGCATTACCTTAAGGACCCTCAACTATGGGAATTTTGGTATGTTCCTAATTATGCAGGATTTATATCATCAACCGTAGTTAGAACAGGGTTTTGGGGTATCGTGCACTGTATCAAGGAACCACCGAGATAGTGCATTAAGATCACAACTACCAATTTTGGTTAGGGGTTCAGGGCCGTTTTGGAATGTAAAGGCCTTCATAATTGGAATAGGGTTTTGGGATATATTATACTTTACTTATGATAAGGAGCCCCCAAAATAGTATTCGTGGTTAATTGGCTCCTATAGTGCCCACTTCAGGTTCAGGGATCTGGGATTTAGGGTTTCAGCGTTAAGGTTCAGGGTGCTACGGTACAATGGTCAAACCTGCCACTTTAGATAGGGTTCGGTGTTTTGGGGCTTTGAAAAGGCATGATGGCCGTACAATAGACGTAGAGGCTGTGCGGGGTAGAGTCTTAGGATTTGAATGCTCTGTTGGGTTTCAGGTTTGGTATTAGTGTTCTCGAGCTTCCTCGTCGGCCAACATAAGTCTTCAAAGCTCCTTCTAGTGACCATAAGATGCCTCAAAACGCTACTCTAAATGTATTGAGGCAGCCTTATAGAATTCCTTGCAGAATCCTCTAAAGAACCCTAAAACGAACCCCCTATCGTAAGTATAAATAAAAGCCCCTATCTTCGACAGTCACAGGAGCCTGGCAGCAGCCGTGTGAGATGTAAAACCACCGAGTCGAGGCGTGTTCCAGCATAGCAGAGGCTGCCACCTGGGGTTTTAGGGGGTTCAGGGTTTAGCATAGCAAAAACTGCCACCTGGGGTTTTAGGGTTTAGGGGGGTTTGGGGTTTCGGGTTTAGAGTAGGCTGAGGGTGCAAAACAGCGCTTGGGGCTTAGGGTTTCGGGCGATATGGGGGTTCTTGGAATGATCATAGAATCATACCTTAAGAACCCAAAATCCACTTTTTTGTAGGTTCTTATTATGAACCCTGATATGGGATTTAGAGGGACCCTACCAAAAAGTAGGTTTGGGGTTCTTAAGGTAGGCTTCTAGATTCCTAGTAATTAATGACCTGGCTCTTCCAGAGGTTCCATAAGGGCTCGGCTATTTTTTGTGTCGGGCTTCGGGAAGCAAGTCTTGAAGTTGGAGCCCGTAGCTTGCAATGGGGTTAGCCCAGAGAACCCAACACCCCTTAATTAAGGAAGATACCTTAAATTATAGGGGCCCTCATATTATAATTATGATTTAAGAGATGTTCCTTAAGTAAGGGGTATTGGGTTCTCTGGGAGGTCCTGGGCTCAGGCCTACGCCTTCGACTGTAGGGCGTCAAGAGCTTCAACTTACTTAAGGGGCCCTAATGATTAGCATAGGGTTTTGGGGCTTAGTATACTAGTCTTATACTAAGGAACCCCCAAAAGAGTACAGGTAATTATTAAGGCCCCTATATTGCTCCTGTCTCCAAACAGACGTTTTAATGCAAAGCTTCGAATTCCAAGTTCAGTCTGGAACAGGTGAAGGCACGGTGCAGCGTCCCAGAGATCATCTGAGTACCGTGGCTGTCCTTCGGGCTCAGGTTTCTGCGGCTTCGAGGTGGGTGCTGTCAGCTGCAGGGTTTGGGCTTTAGGGTTTAGGGTTTGGGGTTTAGGGTTTAGGGTTTAGGGTTTGGGGTTTAGAGACAGGGCTTGAAGCTCCGGGTTTCTGACCTAATGACAGGATGGGAAAGTGTCCAAGCTTTGAGGCTTCAGGTGATCGACGCACTGATACAATTATGACTGCAAAGATGCATTCAAGTAAACTTTCCGTCCTGAGAACTCTTCACTTAGGAGCTGGTGGCTGGTGGTTGTTTCAAAAATGTCTGGGTCGGAATAAGTTCGCGAACCAGGTAACATGTCAAGTAAATTAATGCCATTACTCGCCTCTTCGCCATCTGGTACCAGGCCTCGACCCGAAAACTGAATCCAAACGATGCCCCTGGGCCGCATATGCAACAGTACGATACCGGGTCTCAGAGGCATGACCAGCAGGGTTATGTACCATGGCCCTGGTCCTGATGTACTTCACTTATCCTCGAAACCCTTGTCGAGTCCAAAGTATATGCTGCAGGTACATCCACTCCAATGTAGGAGCCTGAGCAAGCCTGACTGAAATTTCAAGAGCACCAAACTTCTTGGAGCTGTGTAAAGGACCTTATGAAAGGCCATCTTGCACTACAGCCCTACACATCCCTAAAGCCCTACAGACCCCTAGAACGTATAGTGGAACATTAGACAGCAGAGGGACCGTGAACCCCAAAACCCCTGAACCGAAAGGGTGCATGGAGAGATCGGGTTGGGGGTTACTGTGTCGAGGAGTGAGTTTGTGTTTCTGGCGCTGTTTTTCAGAATTGTCCCTGCGGTGTTCAGGTTGCCGCTTGCCGGGGACCTGATGGTGGCTTCTGAAGGTTGAGTAGGTAGTATGATTAGAGGTACCACTTAAAGGGTACCCCTTCTGAACCCTACTTTTGGCTCTCTTAAAAGGGACCTTATTGAGAGGGTCTATATCCCCAAGGGTCCCCCGAATCCTAGCTCCCATTGAGCCGACATGTCAAGCCATACAGTGATGCAACTGGCAAACAATAAAGGCTGCCATCAACTGTTGCCTTGCATGCGCTGCTACTTCGAAATAGGGTTCCAAGAACAGCTTGAGCATTTATGATTATTGGGGTATATGGTAGATTCTGGTAGATTATATTATACATATAATAAAGAAATTCCAAAACCTCATTCGATTTACTAAGGCCCCTATATTAAGGTTTTGTTGAGCTACTGAAGCATGCGACTCCCGAGGTCTGTCTCGCTCTCTCTGCAGGACTGTGGGTCCTCATCCTACTGTTGATGGACAAAATCCTGCATGACCCAAATATAGTATAGTACCATAAATCCCATAGTTTAGGTATATAAGGTCATGCAGGATTTTGTCCATCAACCCTACCACAGTCTCTGTACAACTGCTGTACAACATGCGCCCACAGAGTCTGCCAACCAAGCCCCTTGGCTTCGTGGACGCTTTGGCTCTGCAAGTCTGAGATATCTGGGGGGTCGTTTCTGAGCGGCCGAGGTGAAGCCGTAGCTGTCCCGAGATCCTTCAGCTACCAGCCTCCTGACAGGTTCTGTAACATGGGCCAATGTAGGGTTACTTTAAGGTTTAAGGTCTACGCGCTCAGGCTCGCAGTGTCCAGTAGTTTGGGGTCTAGGGTTCCAGGTGCAGGCTTCTATGAAAACCGTTGACCATGCAGACTAGGTGCACAATGCTCAAAACGGGGTCTGTGGCTACTTACCCAACTGTGCCCAGTCGCAGCCTTCGTTGCTCTGCTCATCATCCGACCAAAGATTGCCAGCCTTCAACAGCACAAGCACCTCGGGGTCTGCTAGCAGGTCGGGTGAGGCGTACTCGATTGCCTGTGGACACTGGCGCACCGCCGCAAGCACTACTTCTCGGTCGCTCTTCATCCGGTCGCTCATGTCGCGGAGGGCATAGCCACTCTCCGTAACACATGATAAGACCAGTTCCTTCATGTCCCTGAACCGAGGTGCTGCTGTACTCAGGGCAGAAGGCGCACCCTTGAGAGCCAGCCGCACCAAAGCCTCTTCGTTCTTGAGGTCGTCAGTCGCATACTCCAACGCAAATGGCGACCGGCGGATTGCTTCCTCCATGAAGGCCCTGTCACCGACCAAGTGCTCTCCTATGCACCACAGGCACCGGGCGTAGATGGTCACGCACTGCAAGATGAACTCCCTGTCTGCTCGAAGCTCTTCACTGGCGAACTGCAAGTCGGGATAGTTGTAGTTCCATGCGATGACAGCGAGCATGCAATTCCTGTCACCACGCACCTCCGCAGGTGCAGTCTGCACCAACTCCGAAACATCACCATCAGCCAACATGTCCGACAGTGACGCCAAAAACTTTTCCTGCTCTGCGGTCCGACTCAGCAAGTTGAGATCCACCACGTCACCGTCACGAGGATGATCGAGCAGGTCCCACAGCTCCCCAGAGTAAGACCTATCAGGGTGCCGGTTGGCCTGGAGCAGGACATCACACAGCTCAAGGTCCCCGAAGAAGAGCCGCTGCCTATGTGTTGACCAGTTCCAATTGGCCTCGACCGCTTCCTTCAAGTCCTCGGGCCTCCACTCGCCGTAAGCAGTCAGCATGCCAAGAAGCGAACCCAAGGTAGACACCCGGACTTGGAACCTGGGACCTTTGTCACGGCTTTCGTTGAGGCCGGGGAAGTCATCGAAGGACGCCATAGCTCCGGAGATGAGCGGAGAACGGCTTCCCCAAAAGGCACTGCTACAACGAGTAGAGCCTGGAGGGTACCTGCGAGGATGCGAGTGGTGCATTGCCTGGTTTATGGCTTCTAAGAGCTACGATGGCTCACTTATACCCCCGGACCCGGACAGCGTCACCCTCCCGCCACAATTCCGCACTCCCTACAGCTTCAAGCACCCGACGGCCTAAAATAATATACTCCTCCACCCTTCACTTCTCTACGACCCTTCCCCACAAGATTCAGCAGGAAATGCGGCCCTTAAACCCTCAACCCTAAACCTAAACCCTACCTATAGTCTCCATTGTAGTTCCTTTTCTGGTTTAACCAAATATATATATATATATATATACATATATATTAACGAGCTTATAAGGTATCCCCCAAAACGAACTACAATGGA